ACTCTGAGTTACTTAGGGTGCTAAATTACTGAGGCTGGCTTTGAACTTGCTGAGCAACATCTCCAGCTCTGTTTTATTTTGGAACAAGGTCTTGATCAACTGCCTAGCCTGGCCTTGAATTGGTGATCCTCCTGCCTCAGCCTGCTGAGCTGCTGGAATTCCAGGTGTGTTCCACTGCGTTGGGCTCAGTCCCCAGGTTTTACATTAAAAAAAACAAAAAAAACAAAAAAACTTTTTTTTTTTTTTTTTTGAGACAGGGTCCTAGTTGCCCAGGCTGGCCTAGAACTTGCATACCCCCGACGCCCCCAATTTTTCACTCCTTCAAAGGTACAGACAGATTTATTTAAGAAAGTAGATACAGATTCAAGAGAGAATGGGAGAAATCTCAAGGAAGGGAACTGCTGGGCTAAAGCAAGGAATAAATCTCATGGGGGCTCTCTCCAGAGCCCTCTGGAAAGAGAGCTGAACTTGCCATCCTTCTGCCTCAGCCTTGGATTAAAGCTCACACTGTTGCACTTGGCCAGGTTTATTTATTTTATATATATTAATTTCTATATATTATTATATTTAATATAAATTAAATACTTTTAGTTGTAGATGGCACAATACCTTTATTTATTTGTTTATATATATGGGGTGCTGAGGATTGAACCCAGTGCCTCACACATGCTAGGCAAGTGCTCTACCACTGAACTTAGACCCCAGCCCCCAGGTTTTATATCTTGATGAAGTTGTACCGTTAATCAATGAGTTTTAGAGAGAGCCTGGGTGTGGGGCTGAGGAGCAGGGAGGACTCAAAGCTGGATGTTGAGTTAGAATGGACCAGTGTTGGGGTGCTCCCAGAGAAGTGGAGGCCAGGGAGGAGCAGGCATCTTTAGTGTGCGATGTTTGAAGGGGACTTACAGAGCTGGAGTTCAGGAGGGAGATATGGGTTGAAGCCAGTTCTCTGTTACAGGAAAAGCTGTGGAATAGATACTTCAGACAGAGGAGCCAGGGAAGCAGGACCTTAAGGCTGACCTGGTCAGAGCATCCATGATGAAAAGATTAAGGCCAAGGTCAAGCTTGAAAGCACTGACAACCAATGCTTCGGGCGAGGGATGAGGATGGACAGTGGGAGGTGGAGGCTGCTGGTGACCAACACAGAAGGCTCTTAGATGCAGTAGTGGTGAAGAGCCTGGCCACAGGAAGCAAATCCCATGAGGGATGACAGGAAAGGAGAAATGAGGAGGGCAGTGGAGTATCCCACGACCCCAGGGAGGTGGGAGGCAGGACTGATTGGTTCTAGTGCTGATGGGAAAGGTCCTGAGGAGGGGATAATAAAGGGCAGAGTTGGTTCCCTGCAGGTATAAACTGGATAGAGGTTCTTTGAGGGGAGGAAGGAAGGCAGCAAGGACAGAGATGGGGTCCAGGGGCTCACTGGCAGGAAGTGGAGGTCTCTGGTCTGAGGAAGAGATGAGCTGTCTGGTAATGGACAGGGAGAGCCATAGGGGAGGTGGCAGGGTTGGGAAAATCCACCACACTGCTGGACAAGGCTGCTGGCAGGTGTCTCGGGAATCCTTTGCTCACTGCTGTGGGCAGAGAGTATCTTGCGCTGCATGAGGCTCTTCCAGGGGTGTGGCCCCAGCACAGGGGCAAGGGTACAGGCACCCAGCTAATACCAGAGCCAGGGGTAGGAGTTTGGGGAGTTCTGTGTCACTGACCTGGGAGCAGTTGGAGGTAGTGACTAGGTTTGGGGGGAGGGACAGGGGCAGTAGGTGTTGAAGAAGTCCTGGAGGCTGAGGACCCAAAGATCTGGATAAGGTAGGCTTTGGTAGTGGGAAGTAGAGACGAGGGGACTATAATGTAGGAGTGAAGACCGTAAACAGAGTGATTAAATGACAAGGAGGAAGGTGGCAAATGTCAGGAAAGGGCAGGACCCATTTCATACTCAGCCCTTCTCTCCCTGGGAGGGGCAGCAGTAATGAGGCTGTGAGAGGGGCAGTGGTGTCCATCTTCAGGGCAGATGTGTGTCTAATAGGTACCTCTACCCTCCCGGCCTCTTCCCCAGGTCGGGTCCTCAAATAAACTCCTGGTAGTGAGATCCACAGCCATAGGGAGCAACACAGAGCCTGACCACCAGCGTGGTTGCTAGGGGACACTAGCTGGTGTTTGTAAGGCTGATGTTCAGTGCTGCAATTTTTCTGTCAGCCGTGAATAACTCCGGGAGGCGGTGCTGGTGTTATTTTCCTGAGCTGCCCACCAGGGCCAAGGCCTACGGCTGAAATGTTTAGGAAAGTGCATCTTCTGGGATGACCATAAATAAGGGATTTCATGCTGTGGCAGTCCCAGATTCTGCTTCTCTCAGCAACCCCCTGCCTGACCGTAGAGGGACAAATCAATCAGGAAGGCTGCTTCCCACCCCCGGCACCAGGCCTGCCTCTTCAGTTGTTTGTGGAGCTCACCCTTGCAGCCCTAGGCTTGGCTTCCCTTCTAAGAGCTGAACACTGTACGGGGTTAGAGCATTGACAAGAATCGCAGCCAGCACCGGAGGGCACTGTGTTTAACCTCTGTCCCCGGTCTTCACGGTAACCAAGATCAGTTTGATTTTTATTCCCATTTTATAGACAAAGAAACCAAAACTCAGATAACATGGAAACTGAAACAAAGAAGGTGCAGAGCTGGGAAGTACTGGACAAGACACAGGCCACCCTGGGCTTCGATCTCAAGCCCTGCCCTACACCTCCCCGATGGATCCAGGCCAAGGTGGCCCAGTGCCCAGTCATAGGCTGGATACTCTTGGCTCTTGGCACTGGGCCATGGTAAGAGGCTGGGTCCACTGGCCAGGCCACCACCACCATGGGACTTTGCAGAAAGCCTCCGCAGCAGCAGAGTTCTATGCGTGGCCATGAGAGGCCTTGGTGCAGGAGCACTGAGGGGGTGCCCTGGCTCACTACTATCTCTGATGGTCTTCCTCCTCAGCCTGCCAAGGCTGGCCTCCCCTTGCCCTGCTCCCAGCTGGTGCCCACCATCCTAGCCCTGTGGCTGCTGTGGAAGCCACAAGACAAGACCCACATGAGCCACAAGAGCTGCACAGACATCAAAAATTGCCCTGACTCCTCTTTCTGGAGAGGACACCTGCCTTGGAGGGGGTCTGTCGAAGTCCTGCTTGCCCTGGGTCCCCGGGAGCCTGCTCAGCAGGTTTGCTGGCAACTTAGCCTCAAACCCTGGCTCCACCTGTACCCGCCGACACAGGGGTTGGGAGGTTAGGGCACTGATATAGGGATGCTTTTGCCTGGGAAATTTACAGAATAGAGAATGAGCCAACGTTGCATTTCCTGACTCAAGCCCTCCCGCAGCTCAGCTCTGAAGTCTCTAGAAAACAAGCTCCTCTAAGGCTTCCTGTCACCTCATCTCTCTGAGCCCCWGTTTCTTCCTTGCTCAGTACAGCTGGGAGGATAATCTTCTTTTCCAGGATGATGATTACAGAAGTGAGATGATTCCTGAACCTTCACATACAGCCTAGCCAGGGTCAGGGCTAGGCTGGAGGGCTGCTGCTCAGCATGACCAGGGAGGTTAGATTTGATGGGTCACTTGGGAACAGCAGGAGCAAAGCAGCTGTTTATACAAGAGACCCTGGGAATGGGAACTTGGGGGTGGCCTCAGGACAACTCTGGAAATGTCTTGGTCTCAGAGGGCTAGTATCATGCCCTTACCCTGTGTGACAGAAGGCCAGGCTGCCCAGGAGGTGGTGACTCCAAGGCAGGTGGCCTTGCCCTCTGCCCTGGCTACAGCAAGAAACATGTGACCCCTCCCACCCCCTCCTCTTCCTTTTGACCTGGTTGTAGGCTGGGAACTGCCAAGCAGTAAGTCCTCTCTCAGGCCACTAAGGTCACTTCCCCTTTTGTCCAGGCCCCAAGGCAGATAAATGGGGGAAGAGGAATGGGGAAATTGGGTCCAGCTACCTCTGCACAGCAAAACACTTGCTGAGATGCTTGACCCATTTTACAGATTGCTCACCAAGTTGTGGGTAATAAAAGTAGATGCCTCAGATTACACAAAAGCTTCCCTGATGCTTCCACCCAGGGCTGTTTCCTGGAGCATGCCAACTCATTCACGGCAGTCCTGCGACTCCTCCTCCCTGGGGAGGATTGGAAATCCCAGGTGCAGTGAGACCATCCCTATTTATTTATTTATTTTAGTGCTGGGGATTAAGCTCAGGGGCACTCGACCCCAGCCTTATTTTATATTTTATTTAGAGATAAGGTCTCATCAAGTTGCTTAGTGCCTTGCTTTTGCTGAGGCTGGTTTTGAACTCATGATCCTCCTGTCTCAGCCTCCCAAGCCACTGGGATTATAGGCATGCGGCGAGACCATCTCTATTTAAATCTCGCCTGTGCAGCTTGCAGACATTGTGGTCCACCAGCCCAGCCTCACAGGATCTACTGGCCACTCCAGGCTTATCCCTCCACTCCACGCGGGCTGTAGACCCTCAATGCCTGCACCCATGCTTTGTGCCTCAGTTCTGTCTGCGAGGTACCCACTGGGAGCCATATTCACACCTGTGTACCCAGACCCGCACAGCATAGGTCAGTGGGGCAGCTTGGGAAGCTCCAGTCCCTCTCCTGCCTGATTCTAAAGCTCACATGTTAGGACCAGGTAGTGCCGTGGAGGCCAGAAGTGGGGCAGAAGTGATTAGGAGCCAGGCACCTGGACCTCTGCCTCAACTCTGACGCTCCCCAGCCTCCCTTCCTTGGTAAGGTTACCTTCACCAGAGGCCAAGAAAGCTCTAGGACCAAAGATATTCAAAGAAGCAAGAGCTGGATCCTTCTGTGTTCTGTAAAGTATCAGTCCCCCCCGCCCCCCGTACTGTCCACGACTTGGAAGCCCTCAGCCCCTTAGCTGATCTCAGAGCAGGGCACTTGGCTAGGGTCCACAGCGGCCAGGTGAGTCCTGGCTGGCTGTCCCAGGGCAGTGAGCCAGAGCAGAAAGGCCTCCTGAGGTGGCCTACCAGGGCTACTCACCCTCTCCAGGTCCTGCCTCAGGTGTGTGAAGAGCTTCAGGCGGCGGTAGAGGACGTCCTGCTCCTGCTGGGCCAAGTTGTCCACCTCATCGGTCTTGGGCGTCAGCAGCGGCTGGTTGGCATTGGCTTTCCTCTTCAGCTTCCAGTACTGGTAGATGAAGTCAACCAGCGCCTCAGCCAGGTCCAGCCGCTCGGCCACCTCAGCCGGCTCCACCAGCTCGTAGAAGTCTTCTTCCAGCTGCTGCAGCCTCTGTTTGCGCAGAGTCACCTTTTCCATGTCCTCAATGGCCTGGCTGGGCTCTGTGGGCTCGGATGTAGGCTCGCACCGTGGGCCCCCATCACTGTGCTCCTGGCAGAACGACTTGAACTTGACCTCATCGTTGTCTGCTAATATAGTCCGCATTTCTAGGCCATGGTCAAAGGCGCACGTGACATGGAATGCAGTGACACAGGAAGGCATTGAACACTGGAGGGAGAGAAAGGCAGCATGAAAGCAGCCCTGGTGGGAAGGAAAAGGATATGGGACTTGCCACAGAGCTCCACTAACAATGCTGAATGCCTGCGAGTCCTACATAAAATGGCATGGGCTCCCAATGCCCTGCCTGGGATGGAAGGAGTCACAGGACAGAGGAGCCCTGGGACACCTGGAAAGGTAACAGATTGGCACAACACACCCCTGGGGAGTCAGCAATCAGAAAATGATTCTGTGACCTCTGGGGACAAGCTGCATTTCTGTGTGGGCAAAATGACTCTGAGAGCAGAAGGCATCAAAAGAAAGGCTGATGACGGGCCACGCCTCCTCTACTACTGCGACATCATCTAAGGCGGGGATCCTCATTGCCAATCTGGGAGGAGGGGCTGAAGTCTTGCCCAAGGCAGCTGAGGCCTGACCCTCCCTTCCAGCCTTGTTTCAGCAGCAATACCCTCAAATATTAGGAACCAGCAATGCTGCACTCAGAAACCCTTCTGAAGGTCTTATAAATGGGTGAAGGCTCAGGTAGTGTTTGCAAACAATTCCGTTCCTGAAGAGATGAGACAGAAAAAGATGCCCCCCACCCCCAGAGATATCAGAATCACATGGGACCTTGACAGCGTGCCAATTCTCAGTTCTAGACCTACTAAATCAGAACCTCTGGGAAGGAGGCCCAGCAATGTGTGTTCAATAAGCCCTCCCGGATCTGATGCACACTAGATTCTGGGAACCAAGGCAGACTAGTGCAGTCCTGTGGCAGGAGAGCCCATTAGCTCAGCTGGAGGGGAAATTTGATTCCCATTCCTCCCAAGTCAAGCCTGATGTCTAAAGCAAGGTAAATGTCTTTATTAAGCCTAAAAACACTCTCAGGGAAAGCCAAGTTCTCAGCGCTCCAATGGGGTGGTGAGCCACCCTGTCTCTGGAGGACCTGAGGATAAAAAGGAATGCTCACCTCCTCCCAGGAGTAATCTTGAGTCTGGACCCAGTCCCACACCTCCTGGGCCCATCTGTGGTCCCACCGCAGTAGCATAGGGGCAGGGTGGGGTGAGGGCAGGGAGAGGATAGAGACTGCAGTCTGTTTTCCAGGAGACTCCAGGGGGTGAAATGGGCTTCGTACCTGGATGCAGGTGCCTGTGCACTCCTTGCAGAGGCTGCAGGACAGAGCCCAGCGGCTGGCTGGAATATGTGAGATCTTGGTGATGGGCTCCATCTTCTCTGGACAGCCAATGCTGACCTGAGCAGGACATAGGGAACTGTGTCAATCCCCAGTCTGCCTCCAGGGAACCCTGTCACATGGGGGCTGCCCACAGAAACCAGGTGGTAGGCAGAAAGAACAATGGCTGAGCCTCTGAATCCCAATTCCTGACCCCAAACAGGTCTGAGTCCCTCCTCACCGTCCCAAGCTATCTGCTGGGCAAGTTGTGTGCTCATCTGTGACTAATCCTGGACTGTGACTGAGGGACAATGCACATGAGCATCATGTACAGTTGACAGGATGACTGTGCTGGCCTCCCACAGAAGTGCTTCTGTGTGTGTGTGCATGTGAGAGAGAGGGGGGAGAATGTGCGAGGTCCCTTTTCCTTCTGCATCTCGTTAGCATCTATAACTTATTTTAATTTCATCATTTTTCCTAGACACCAAGAACAGGCCTTATGGAAATCTCCACTTTGGGGTCTTCAGGCCGCTTGCGGCCAAGAGGGATGTACCTTTACTTAGCCCTGCCTAGGGGGACAGGTCTGCATATAAGACCTCTATAGGGCATCGGYCCCAGGAGGCAATACACATTCATCTGGCCATATCTGAGAATAGAATAAGGGCCCCTCTCTAAAGGTGGGGTCCTTGTTGGTTCTGTCTCTGCTGTGTCCAGGCCAGGCAACACTGAGAGGTAGTCCCAGCCTTTAAGATGCTGCTCTGAAAGCCAGTGGCTTCTGCTGACACAAATGACCACCATCACAGAAAAGTCTGCAATGTGGGCCTCCCTGGTCTATGAACCCAGGAAGGGTTACCTGGCTCATTTCTGGACACAGGCAGCATAGGAATGGGGTCTCAATCCGCACAGCACACCGTAGGGCTGGGGCTGAAACTCTAGTGAATTTCAGCATTTCACATTTTAAAGAAAATGAATGGTATTCTAGGAGACTGGGGGCCTCTGCTGACGTGTGGACCCAGCCTGTAGCCTGTGGCCTTCCCACCTGGCCTCAGCCACAGGCAGACCCCTCCTTCCCAACCACAGCCAGAGCGACAGGCCTGCTGTCCAACTTTTCATTAGGCTTGATGCTGGTTTTCTTTCAGGTCAGAGGGATTATTTGTGGTTTAAACCTGCAGACTAACTGAGGTTGGAACCACTACCCACATTTTGATAGCTACCACAGCCTGTCCCCTACACGCAGCTAACTGACTTCTGCCCAGACTTTAGATCTACCTCCTGAAATGCCCAGCAGTCCACCATCCCACTTGCCTACCTGAACTGTGCCCAACCCGATGGACCGCTGCCCCAGTTCTTCCCAACCTGTCACTTAAAGACCCCTGTGCTGTCCCATGGGTTCATCCCCAAGTTCTCAGTTCCATGCAAACCTACTTCCCCAGGTGCTGATCCCTGAGCTGCCACACCCCCACACCCACTCACCTCAGGAATCCACAGGGCGCAGCTGACGTGCACCCACTTGGTCCCACTTCGGGTGGGCTTCAGGGCTCCTCCTCGCTTGGGGCAGAGCAGGCACTTTGGCTGGACTCCCAGGGCACACGTCCGGCATAGCCAGCTGCCTGTAGGCACCTTCAGGATCCCATAGCAAGCCTGGGGAGAGAGCAGGGTGGTCACGAGTCAAAGGCACTAGCCAGTCTGTGCCTGGACAGCAGTCAGCTCCTCAGGGTTGATGATATGAGGGCTCCTAGAAAGCTCTCTGCCTGCGTATTTCAGTCCTCCAGGAAAGGGCTCAGGCCTGCCCTCTGCTGGGAGGAGGCTCACGTTAGCTAGCAGTTCCTAATCAGGACGAACTTGGGAGGGTCCACGATCCCCTCACAAGTTGAATAAAAAACTGGTTATCTATTTCCTAGAACCAAGGCCCACAGTTTTCATCTGTTTCTTAGGAATCTGAACAGGGTTCCTCCTGGTCATGTCTAGAGCTTAACAGAGATACTGGACCTAAGAGCTGCTGGGTGGAAGGGACATGGATGTATGAAGGTCACACTGATCACCCCACCTGCAGTCCCTCCTGAACTCCCCAGGGTCTAGTTCAGCAGCAGTGGGTACAGATGGCCTCAAAGTCAGGGTCAGAGTGGGTCCACTGGGTACCAGTCAGTTGTTCAGAAACAAGGCCCAGAGATACCCAAGACCTGGAGCCTGAGGGCCCAAGATCAATTGGGGGTGGGGAGGGGACTATCCAGACTATATCTAGTTTATAATACCAGGAATGGTAGTAAGTACTCACAGTACTTACTCTACTATACTAAGCAAATAACTCATAATAAACAATTCAAACGTCCCCCACTTTTGGTACCCAAGAGTGTTTAATCCCTGAGCCACATCCCCCATAATTTTATTTTGCTTACAGAATTGCTAAATTGCTGAGACTGGCTTCGAACCTACGATCCTCCTGCCTCAGCCACCCTCCCCACCAGCTGCTGGGATTACAGTCACGCATCACCAGGGCTAATTTAAAGATTTGACAAGTCTTTTTTTTTTTTTTTTTTTCTTCTTCTCAGGGCTGGGATAGAGCCCAGGGCCTCAGACATGCTAGGCATGTCTATATCACTGAGTTACATCCCTAGCACCAATAACTCACTTTTATTGATAGTTGAGGGAAAAAGAGGCCCAGACCCTGCTTGTGTGTTCACTTACTCCTGAAACATTATCTAGGGTCACACAACTTGTGAAGGACCCAACCATGTTTTGAAACCAGTCAGGCTGGCTCCATGCTTGGCTCTCAATCACTACACTGTGCTGCTACTTCTTTTAAAGTTCAGGACATGAGAAGTGAAGGGAGAGTAGAGTAGGGTAGGATGATCCACGGGGGTGTCTGAGGTAGATGGGAGAAGACAGAAAGGCAACCCAATGGGCATTTGCTCAAGTCTGGCTGTGGGGCTGAGTCAAGGGCCCTGGTATCCCTAGAAGCTCAGGGCATCCATGGCATTGCCTCCCTCCCTCCCTGCTAAGGGAGGTAGCTCACAGTATCCCTGAGCGCCTGCAGCCAGATCGACCAGCCCCGACAGGGGTCCACCCAGGCAGCAGGTACATTCATCACCAGGTCAGGGAGGAGAGGGCTGCCCACCTGGTGCACACAGACGTTGCACTTGTCACAGAAGACCATCTCATTGCCATCCTCACCCTCAGGGGAGCGGCACACGTCACAGACCACATCCTCATCATACTCAATGCCCAGCCCCTCCTGCGTCTCAATGGCCCGGGCCATATTCTGGTGGCACAAAGTCTCCAGCTCCTCCAGCACACGTTCTAACGTCAGCTCGTCCAGCTTGGGCCTCTCTGTGGGGAGAACAGTAGTGGGTGGTATCAGGAATTCTGGGCAGACGTATGGAAGATTTTTTGCTTGGCCACCATGTGCTCTGGGACTCAGCTCCACCCTCTAACGATGGAACAGGCTGGACCATCCTATCACAAAGGCTCCTGACCTGTATGGTGTTCTCATTGTAGACAGCTGGCCTGAGACTACACATGTATGTATAGAAAGCATGGAATGCTGTGTGCAGCAGGCATTTCCAAACGTGGCTGAACAGGGCAGACCTGGTCCTTCCTTGAYACATCAGTGGGCTTTAGCCAGGATGGTAATACCCAATGCCTGGGCCCTGCTTGTATGTTTACTTACTCCTACAACATTCATGTCTGCTGCAATAGTCCCAAGAACCCTGTGAATCATGCTATTATTGCAGCCACCTGACGGCTGCAAAATCTTCAGGATGCACAGGATACTAAATAACTATACCTATCAATAACGCAGAAGTCACTATTCCCCAGTCTCAGCCACTGTCTTTCTAGAGGTGAGGATGCTGCGACTGGGAAGGAAACCCTCCCTCCCTGTCCTGATTCCATTCCTAGCACAGAGGGTCACCTACCCATCTCCTTGAGCTCGGAGTTGATAAGCTCCAGCCAGTAGGCGTCAATCTCGTCCAGGTCATAGCGGCTGCCCTCTGGCCAATCAGGCTGGGAGCCCTCACCAAGTGCAGAGTTGTCTGGGGATCCCTGTGCAGGGGGGCCTTCCAGCGGTGGGAGGATCCTAGGAAATCAAGAGGGGTTGTCATGAAGGGAAGGACCCTCAGCCGCCAGGCTCGGGGGGCTCCAATGAGCTGGTCAGTGAGGAGCTGGTGGCCAAGTGTGAGGTCTGACTTTTGATGCCCTGTATATCCCCTCCTCCTATTTCTTCCTCCACCATCTGCCCACCCTGCCAACACTCGGATGACTATGGGTACACAGGAAATATAAGACCTAAAGGGCTATGGAGAAGCCCCAGCTCACTTCATAAACATCCATGACCAGCCAGAGCCCATCTCCACAGTCCCCCCACCAGGGTGGCTGGGCCTAAACTGAAGCCTCCTGATTAGCCTGGGCCTGTAGGAGGTGTCCCAAGTGACATCCTAAGCAATGCCCTGTGCCAGTCACTTGGGAACAAGTAGGATAGAGCCAGTTCGGATTTCAGTCCTTTAACATACTCCTCCAGGTGGGGAGGGGCCAGGGATTGATTAGCTACCCACTTTCACAAGCCCTGGTCCCTCCTTCACCAACAGCCAGAAAATGCCCTGGTCTTAAGTAGAACTGTGGCCAGTTCTCCTCGGGGGTGTGAGGGGGCCCAGCCAGGTTCCAGTGCTACAGCCCCAGATACAGCAATGCCCAACACCTGTCCTTCCCCAGATCCTGTACATAAGCAGCAAATATCTTAGGTTACTTGTCTCCCCACCAACACTGCCCAGGACGGAAGCAAAGTCTCCCGCATACAAAATTGCACCCACCATGGTCCCAGGATCACATCCCAGCTCAGCTCTCCCTTGGGGACACAGCTCTGTCTCTGATGCAGCTTGGAAAGGCCATGGCTACATGTATAGATTACATCACAGCTCCCCCATTGAATGTTCTCATCCCCAAAATGGGCTAATGACATTAGTACCTACCTTATACAGTTAGTGAGAGAATTGTAAGGATTAATGTGTATAAAGTTCTTAGAAAAGTGCCTGGCACACATACATAGTTAAGGGGAAATTTTGCCTTGTGAGGAGGTCAGTGTCYCCTCAGCTCAGCCCTATGCGGTCTCTCAGATCCTAATGCCAGTTCAAAATGCCAACGCTTAGCCAGGTGCAGTGGCTACTCAGGAGGCTGAGGCAGGAGGATCACAAGTTCGAGGCTACACTGAGCAACTTGGCAAGATGTTGCCTCAAAGTAAAATAAAAATTTTAAGAAGGGCTGGGGATGTAGATTAGTCACAGAGCACTCACCTAGCACATAGGAGGCCCAGGTTCAATCCCCAGTACCAAAAAAAAAAAAAAAAAAAAAAAAAAAAAGAACAGAACACCAAAATACCAGCTCTTCCCACCCCCCACTGGTTGCCATGGTTATTGCCTGGGAGCCTGGCCTCCATCTGGACAGCACTGCCAGGCCTGAGAGGCCCCTCACTTGCCTGGGAGGCCTCCTAGGGTCGGAGGCAGGGCTGCCAGGGGCTGTGACTCAGCGCACACTGTGGAGAGGAGGGCAGGGCCTGAGATGGCAGAGACATGGCTGAGCTGTGGGGAGGGCGCCTGGGCTCCAGGAAATGCCCCAGGTGTCAGCAAGAGAGGCAGGAAGGTGGCAGGGGACAGGGAGGCAGAGGCCCAAGCAGGAAGACAGGCCTCCAGGCCAGAAGGGAGGCCTAGAAAAGGCTGAGGGGCAAAGAGAAAGGGAAAGGGCTGGCACCACCTTAATGATGTCGGTGGCACCCCACCATCACCCTGGGGGGTTCCAATCAGAGCTACACCAAGACCCGAGTCCAACAAAATGCTGCCTTTCCCGGTGAAACAGCCATTTGAACTAATGCTTCCTTTTAAGCGCAGCCTGTCATTTGGTCACGATCTGGCTTTGTTTGTGCCCTAAACATATGCTTAGTCAAGGGTTTGGGGCAGCTCTCATCCAAATGCCCAGCTGCTGGCACAACACTACCTAACCCTGCTTGCCCTGTCAGCTGTTACCTGGCCAGACCTCTAGGGAACAAGATCAGTGTCTTCTCTCTGGGGAGCCAGGGCTGAAGGACTCACACCAGAAAAATGCATTTCCTGGGACTCCCATCTTCACCTGTTTGTCCCCTTCTTGCTCTAGCTATCAAGGAAGATCTCCTCCCAGGCATGGACTGACCTGCCCAATGGACATGGCATGGAGGTCAGCTGGAGGACCACTGGGTAGAGACCTATAGGAGAGAAAAGAGTCTCTATCCCATTAAGAGACATTCTCCAGAGGCTGGCTGGGCCCTGGGCTTTCTGGCTATACTAAGGGGGTGGTACAGGCCCTCACTCAGATTTAGAGGGTGAGGCGGGCAGATATGCCCAAAAGGCCAGGGAGGGAGGGATAGAGGGGCTGGGACAGTAACTGGGGAGAACAGTTCGAGCCAGCAGGCATAAGGCTCTTGCTCTGGGCCCCACACAGATAACCCAAGGCTTGCTCGTGGGGCCTGTGATTTCCTGGCCCAGCCCACTAGGCCCCAGCAACCCTGCAGGAAAGTCCCCAGAATTTCCCAACTTCCTCATCTATAAAATGGGGACAGTACTCTGTACTTTACAAGGCAAGTAAGATCATTAAATGAGAAAATGAACATCCCAGGCTCAGTACAGCAAATCATCAGGCTCAGAGCAGCTCTGGCAATTCTGGCCATGATGGCCGCCACGCAGATAATCAGACAAGGGTTGTGCAGTAGGAGGCATCCAGGGAGATGGATGGGCTGGGCTGGGCTGGGGAAGACACAGATGGAGGCATGGAGAGCTCGCCAAGAGAACACCCGTCTTATCCCTTCCAAACCATGGACAGGCAGGGAGCGCCTGGCTCCTGTCATCCTGGTGCAGCTGTGCATATGCTGGGAATGCACGTCATGAAGCCAAGGCAGCCCGAACATGTGCTCTCCTCTTGATGTCAACAGATAAAGTACCCTACAGGCACACTGAAACTAAGCTACTGGTGTGGCAGCATCTGCAATTAATTACCTAGGTCTGTGGATGTTTCCGGAACCACCTGACATTGACATCAAGTACAAAGGACAGACTGCTGGGGCAGGCCCGATCAGGACTGGCTTTTTTCTGCCCAGTAAAGTGGCCTGCCCCTTCTCCTTACCCTGGGCCCTGGCACATGTGGTGACAACTTGGCATGTGTATTCTCACCACCACACCATCAGGCAGGTTCTGGTGTTATCCCCATTTCACAGAGGAAGAAACTGGCTCAAAGAGGTCAAGCCAGAGTTTTCCAGTCTGCCTAGGTGRGGGCACAAAACTGGCTAGGAGCTTCAGCCATGTTGCTGGCCCTAGAAAATGATGTGGAGAACAATCTCTATTGTCCAATTCATTCACTGATGCAGCATATACTCCCAAGGGGGCCATTAGAGAAGTTCAGACCTTCCCTTATTCTCAGAAAGTCCCAGCCAAGAGTTGGTGGCACTCAGCCCTCAGAAGTTATTGGACGAGGAAAGGCCCTCCTCAATAGCCAATCCCCACAGAGCACCCGACAGGGTTGAATCTGCTTCCCTTATGATCCTGTGCCCAGCACAAGGCTGGCACTAAGGTTCTCAATGTCTATGAGCCAGTCAAAAGTGTGGTTGCCAGGAAGCGATGGTGCCAATGTCAAGGGAGGGAACAGCTGTGATCTTTGCCCCAAGCTTGGTCTACATGAGCTCTAGCAAGAGCCAAGGCTGCCAAGGCCAGAAAGGGGCTGCCAATAACCCGAGCTAACCTGCTCAGGCAGGCGGGTGGGTGGCGAGGACAAAACACCAGGCCCTCCTGCCTTGAGGGTTCCTCAGGGTGCAGAAAGAAGCACCTGACTGAGCTCTAGTTGGAGGCACAACCTATGGCAATGTGGCTACATCCTGCAAGAGCACCCAGGGGTCTCAGTACTCCATGAAACTGGAAGGCTCCAAAGCCCAGTTAAGACTTCTCTCTGACTCAGACCCTCTCTAAGAACTCCTTTAAAGGGCCTTTTAAAAGAAGATAAGAGCCAGGCATAACACCTGTAACCCCAGTGATTTGGGAAGCCGAGGCAGAGGGATCACAAGTTCAAGGCCAACCGGAGCCATTTAGCAAAACCTTGTCTCCAAATAAATAGGTAAATCAACAAAAAGGGCTRGGGATGTACCTCAGTGGTAAAGCACTTGCTTGCCTAGCATATGTAAGGCCCTGGGTTCAATTCCCAGTACTGCAAAAGAAAAGAAGGGAAAGAAGTTACGAGCATGGCAACTTAGCAAGACCCTGTCTCAAAATAAAAAATAAGGCCAGGAGCCAGGTATAGTGACACATGCCTGTAATCCCAGAGTCTCAGCAGGCTGAAGCAGGAGAATCAAAAGTTCAAAATTAACCTCAACAAATTACTGAGGCTCTAAGCAACTCAGAAAGACCCTATTCAAAATATAAAAAGGGGCATGGGGATATATCTCAGTTGGTAGAGTGCTTGCCTTGCATGCACAAGGCCCTGGCTTTAATCCCTGTTACCAAAAAAAAAGTCTAGAGATGTTTCTAATCGAGTCCGGAGTGACATCATTCTAAGAGTGACATCCCATTTCTAAGACAAGGAAATGGAGGCCCAGAGAGATCCGGATTCTGACCCAAGGTCACAATGAATGTGAGTGACAATTTGGATCCAAGCAGTCTAGCTCCAGAGCTGAGCCCAAACCAAGGTCCAAAGCCTGAAAAGTGTTTCTAGAGTATTTCTAGAATATTTTAATGATTTATCAGATAAGAGAACTGAACACGAAATAGACAAACTAGAAAGGAACTCGAGGACTGATAGGTCCCTTTCGGGAGAGCAGCCTCCCTTTCCTCCTGGGCACTGCCTGTCTCACCTCACCACCGGCTCTGGAATGGCCTCTGCCCCGGCGGGCACCTGCACACCTTTCTCCCATTCCTGTCGCCAYGGGTCCGCCAGGATATAGTAGTCATCCGGGCTCAGCTGGTATGAATCTGGAATCTTCATGGCTGTGATCAAGTCTGTCCGGAAAACCTGGCAGGGTGAGAGAAGGGGATTTCAGATCACCTTGGGGTGGTCTGGACCATAGGCTATGGCAAGAGGCATATAAATGCAACCGAAGCGGACTTTCTGCCTGTTCACTTAGAAATAAACCAAAGCAGTAGGAACAACACCTTCTCTGAACCAGCATATGCCCTTCCCATAGTACATGTTCCATAAACACGAGGAACTGAATTCACACGGTTCTAACCTGTTAAAAAAGGACAGAATTTGAATGACCAATAGGATTTTTTCCTTCCTAAAAGGGGAGAAAAAGAATTGCAGAGAAAGGGCAAAAACAAAAAATAAACACGAACAAAAGAAAAAMAAACCTCAGAGGGCAGAAAGGCATCTGTGAATGTGATACAAAGAGAATTGTCATTAGAAGTTTAAAATTATGCTGTAGATTTGTACCCACAGGCACAAGGAGAGATATGAAACAGCACTAAATAGCAACCCCAGGAAAATACCCCTCATCCCACCCTACCCTTGTCCTGGAGATCTATGTGTGTGAGTCAAGTACTCTATCTCTAGACACATCCCTAGCCCAACCGCAGGAAAATAAAAGGCCATAGTGCAGGGAGAGGATGGAACTTGGAGCAGCCTGGAGAGTAACCATGTTATGAGTCAGGACCTCCAAGGTCCCACAAGAACAAGGACACTGTCTCCCGCTTCAGTGGTGTTCTTTACTACCACCCTCAGTGTGTGATGGGGTAGAAGAGGACAGTTGTCTTTTCTCTTCAATCTGTCCTCATTCCCTCAGTGCCAGCCAGCCCATGAGGCTACCTCAAAATGCTTTTGGATTTCTTGAGCACCTATCTACAGCTCACTCAGAGGGAAACTGGCTGTCCCCATTATTCTATTTGTTGTCCTCCACCTCCACCCCAAAACCATCTCCAAACACATTCCCAGCTGGCTCTGGCAATGCCTCCAGACTCCATTGCCTAATCCCACTGTGGTCCCCCCGACAAAGCACTGCTGTGGAAGATGGTGGTGCCTCTAGATACCATATGACTTGCTCAGGTACCAACTTCCCTGGTAATCATCACTTGAGAATCACAAGTTAAAGAAGAACTTACATCCATGAGACAAGAGCAACCACTTCAAGGAGTATTCCAGTCCTCAATTCAACCTCCAAACCCGTCATGTCTATCATTATGCCTGGAGCAAAGTCAGCTCACTTGGCTTTCACCAGGCTCCAGGCTCCTGACAAACCAATTCAGTGCTAACCTCTGCCTGCTGGGGGTGCACTCATCAGCTATATGAGCCCCACTGGAATCCAGAGCCATTACCACAAGGAAAAAACTAAATGGGTGCACGGATGGGTCTGGAAGCAGCATCTTGCAGAATCTAATTAACATCTGCATCTAGCTAGAGAGGGCCCTGGCTTGAAAAAGGTCAAGTTTCCTGAAGACTCTATTTGCCAATATAATTTAATTGTTAAGACTAACACCCTAACATTTAATTAGGGTGCCAGTGTGAAAAAATTAAAATCAGATTACGATTAAATGCTAATTAAACAGAAGATGGAATGTGGCTAAGATCTCACAGCCCTGATAATTTGCATATCTTATTAGCAAGCAGCAAGACAGCTAATATAAGAGCACACACTCAGGCGCTGAGTGCTTTGGGGGCTCCTTTCAGCAGCACCTCTTCAGGAATGGAAGGCTTACTCCACGGAGGCCTCTGGGGACCCTTGGAGGCCCAGAGGGCTAGAGCTGAATAAATAATTCAACTCCCCAACTCCCCTCACCTCCAGCCCCCATATAGGACCTAGAGTGAGCTGACCTCAAGGTGACTCAAATTCAGAGAGACAAGCCTGGTTCTAACAAAGTTCCAAGTTTTTAAGTTCTTGTTTTTGGTACCAGGGATTGAAACCTGGGGCACCGTACCACCCCTGAGCCACATTCTCAGCCCTTTTTATGTTTATTATTTTGAGATAGGGTCTTGTCAAATTCCTTATTAGGGCCTCACCAAGTTGCTGGGGCTGAATTTGAACTTGCAATCCTCCTGCCTCAGCCTGGGAATATAGCACTCAGGTGACTGGACATTACTGGCCCTTTCAGACAGGACTAATGGGAAAAAACTAAATGGGTTTCCATAAGGAGGTCAGCTCTATGACTGTCAGCTATCAAGCAGAGACATGGCTGTGTGCCAGGTGACAGACAGCTGCTTGTAATTCTGACTCAGTAGTAGTTCCTAGACCAAGTTTAAGAGGTAGGTATTTTGGACTTGAGAAACTTGGAGAGTTAACCTACTCAAGGTTTACCTCTTGAAAGTGGCAAAAGGCCAGGCCAACACAACTCCGGAGCCAGACTGTACTTCCTCCCCCAAGGTCTCCAGCCACACCACCCCCCAAGCTATAGTCCAAAGTTCTAGAATCAACCTTCAGCCAAATCAGGTGGATTCCCCAAGGGGAATATGCAAATCTGATGGTGTCCTTTGTAAGTTCCAAGCCCATAGCCCTCAGGCTGAAGTGCAAGTCTATAGTGGTCAAAGGCATCCAGCACTGTAAATCTCCCAAGGGCTTTTTACATGGGAGCCTCCTTCTGAATCACTCTTCTCCCACACTAAAGTGGGCCTGGCATGCTTCATCTTGAAGGTCTCCAGTTCAGCACATATCCACTCTGGGAAGCCCTGCCCAATGTGAGGCTGGGTTCTGGATGTTGTTGGAATTCTCACAGCACCTGTATTGGAAGCTTCTGGTTTCCCGCCATGACTTCCCTACTAAGAAATGAAAGTATGGAAGTCTGGCTAGACCACAGTGCACATGGGGCTTGGCACATGCTAGGTGCAAACAAATGTTGAAAAACTGGAGATGATTCCATGGATCAGCCACCTCTTCCTTGGGTGCTGCCCCAGGCTATAGCTGGGCAGCTGGGTACTCTGTTACCTTCCGTAGTAGCCTCTGTACATTACCTGACCACAAATATGGCAGCCGGTTTCTAACCTAAAACATCTTATTATTTTGATAAGCCAGGGATTAGGCTTGGAAAAGAATAACAACTCTGAATAATTTATGTAAACCGAGTAAAGAATAAAATGGACACTGATGCACATATTGATGAATGGAATTCRTGCTGTGGCACGGAAGTTGGAAGCTAGAAAACAAGCAATTTTCTTAGAACGTGAATGTTTACTACTCTTCTGTCTTTTGGCAGAAATCAACAAATTGTCTTTAAAGGTCTGCTGCCTAGCAACCAAGTTCTGCTGAGCTACTTGGGAAATACTAATTGTAACTTCTTTGAACAGTATGGAGGATGTTTAAAAGGCACAAACTCTAATTTAATAACCAACCTGGGTGCCAGGGGTGCCAATGCAGCCATACAGGAGGCCAAAGACCCTGCTCTGTCCAGATGTAGGGATGTCGCCCCAGGAACACATCACGTGACCCTGCTCTGTGGTTACTTTTCCTGAAACTGAAGWCTACAACCCCCACAAATCTACCTTTCTACACTTATTTCCCTAGGAAGAACTGAAAGCAGGTCACATAAAAATGATCAGTGCAGCTGGGCACAGTGGTGAACGCCTGTAATCCCAGCAGCTTGGGAGGCTGAGATAGGAGGACTGCAAGTTCAAGGTCAGCCTCAGCCATTTATCAAGGCCCCAAGCAACTTACAAAGACCCTATCTCCAAAGAGAAAGTAAAAAGGGCTGGGGATGTGGTTAAGTGTCCCAGTAGGAAAACAAAACAAAAACAAACAACAACAAAAAAAAAAGAAAGAAAGAAAGAAAGCCCAGTGGAGCTCAGTGGTGTCTGTGATCTAAAGCAAACAACAGGCAACTTCCAATGTGCAGTGACACTCGGATGGCACAGGTGAAGTTTTAGAACATGATGGTTGGTTCTGTGGCTGCTATTTGAAGAATTCATCCTGGAACCTTAGTTTTTTGCTTCCTTTCCGCATGGGCTGAATTACCGTGTCAGAGTCCTTTGGACTAAGAGGTGCCAAAGAAAGTTGGATTTTTTTGGTAACAGGGATTGAACCCAGGGGCACTTAACCATATCCCCACATCCCCAGCCCTTTTTATTTTTTATTTTGAGGCAGGGTCTAGCTAAGTTACTTAGGGCTTCACTAAGTTGCTGAGGCTGACTTTGAACTCATGATCCTCCTGCCTCAGCCTCTTGAGTTGCTGGCATTATGGGCAGCACCACTGCCCCTGGCAGAAAAGTTGGATTATTTGAGAAAAAGCTCTAGCATTTACCACAACTATGAAATAAAATTATCTTGGAATTATTTGTTCAATATCAATCTCCTTTGATAACCAAACAGCAGAAAAATACACTGCATGTGTCCAGTGTCTCTATTGCCTTTACTGTGCCCGTTTGTGGTGCTGTGCTTGTGAGGGCTGGGGATATAGCTCAGTTGATAAAGTGCTTGCTTAGCATGCACAAGGCCCTGGGTTCAATCTCCAGTACCACAAAAAAAAAAAAAAAAAAAAATTGCTTGTGAGTTGGGCACAGTGACACATGCCTGTAATCCCAGCCACTCAGGAGGCTGAGGCAGAAGGATGGCAAGTTTGAGGACAACCTTGGCAACTTAGTGAGACCCTGCTTCAAAATAAAAAAGAAAAAGGGTTGGGGTCGTAGCTCAGTGGAAGAGTGCCCCTGGGTTCAGTCCTAATATAGCATAAAAAGAAAACAGAAATGCTTATGGAATGAGTAAAGGAATGAATGAGTCCCAGGAGTAGCCTGAACAATGGCTAAAGGTTACAATTTCCTGTTTCTGAGGGTGGAGGTAGGAAATTGGCCCTGAAGGAATCTTCCAGACAGAACTCAGAAACTAGGCCTAGTTACTGTCCAAAGCCAATGGAAATGACTTTGGCCAGGACTGCCTATCTTTGACCTGTCCACATCAGGAGGGGCAACCTTTCATCCCGTAAAAAAATGTTTAAGGGTCTCCCTCAAATAGCCATTGTTTCCTGAGCACCCAACTTACCAGAAATTATAGCTAATAGTTAAGCCATGTCAAGTATTGTGCTGTTACCTAGCCTAAT